CCTTCCATAACGCCTTTCCTTCCTATATCTTTACCTTAAGTTTTCTCTTTCTGTCATCCCCTCATTCCATCTCTTGCTGTACTCGGATATATAATGGTCCTTTCCTTGCAGTCTTGAACTTGCAGTCCCCAAACCTAGCCCCTATAGGTCACTGCCTTCGCTGAAATCTCCAGGAATGGGCTGCCCAGTCTTGTCCTCTATACTTGTGTTTCTGATATGGCTCTGGGGCCTGAATCGTGGGTACCCACAGTAGCATCTTCCAGAGACACTGGCCACGGTCATAGCAACAACTCACCTTTCCGGAGCACGGGTTCTGTGCTGGGCACTCCCTTAAACACCTTATGTAACTATGTCACTCAATGATCATGAAAGAAGACATAGGCTATCCTGCTAACCTAATGGTTAAGGAGGCCAGATCCCACGTGGCCAAGCACGGTTCAAATTCCAGCCTCAGAGGCTTGAAAACTATGCCAGGCATTTGTGTGTGCATGTCCAAAATTCCCAACAGGATCGAGAAATGGAGGAGAAGGGACTGAGGCATGATAGCACCCCACTGGGGGTGCTTTTTCCCTCTTCTTTTCTGGTCTGTTTCTCTGGGGCAACTACATGTACCCCCTGGCAAATAAATTTTTTTTAAAAGATGACATAGATTACAATGATGATCACTTTTGCAATCAAGATAACTGAGGCATAGAGAAATTAGGTAGCTTGCCAAGGTTACCATCAGCAGGTAACAGAGCTGGGATTTCAACCCAGGCACCCTGATTTGAAAGCACACACACCAAAGGCCTCTGCTGGGTGGCCTTTCTTCTCCAATGTTCTTTTAATGTTTGTTGGGTTGACTGAGAGGACCTAGAGGAGTAGAGTGGAGAAAGGTGGCCATGCTGAAAGTTAAACACCCAGAATGCCCACGGGGTTCCCCAGGCCAGAGCAGTGAACAGGTGCTGACCCACACGACACCTGGCACTTAGGGAAGGGGAAACACAGCCATCTTTTTCTGTAATTCCCAGTCTTTGTTTTCTGCAGCTAGGGCCCTGGCAGCTAGATAGGCCTTCATACTGGACATGCCGAGAGGCCTTGGAAGGCATGAAAGATCTGGAAGTCAGAGCTAGGACCTCTACAGGCCGATAGATGGCGCTCATGGCCCAACGCAGCCCCAGCAGCCCAAGGAAAACAAGTGAGCATGTTAACCCCTTCTCGTCTGAGCTCAGGCGGGAGAAGCAGGCTAGTGAGTGGAGAGGGCCCAGTCCTAGGATGGTGACCTGGCTCTCCAGGCTCTTAACCAGGCCACGGGTAAGAGGCCTGCTTCACAGGCTCTACTCATGAATCGCCCTCAGCCAGCCCCTGTAAGACTTCCCAGAGGACCAAGAGACTGAAGAAATGAATGAGGCTGGTTGGGTGGGCCCGCTGAAGCCCATGTTCCATCTCCTGGGCTCTACCTTTTGAAAGCCTCGGGGACTCTTGTTTCTAAGCACCCCCTCTTCAGGAGACTGCCTCACCTCCATCTTCCCAGAGAGGGACTCACTGGTGAGGAGGAGCAGCTTAGACAAGAATCAGAAAAGACCCCCAGTCCCCTGAGGTCAACTGTAGGGACTCACTGTAGGCTGTCCAAGCCTCAGTTCCTCCTTATATATATATATATCTGTGCTTTCTCTCTGAGCTCCCTGAGGTGGATGGGCTTATGGGGACAGAAATAACAATATAATTCTTCCAGGCAGTTGAAATCAGGGGTCGGGTTCCTGGGGAAATCTCTGCTTGTCACTCATTTCATTCATTGTTGTCCTGTCAGAAGCAGGCTTGGGGCTGTGAAGAGGCTGCCAAGATACTAAACTGGGAGTTGTGGGCAAGCAGGGGCAGAGAGGAGGCCAGAGGGTTATCCAAGGGACAGTAGAGATCCTAGAATTTCTTTCTTCTCACTTTTTAAAACAATTTTTGCTATAGAGGGTATGTACTCATCAGAAACACACACACAAAGAGAGAGAGAGAGAGAAAATCGCCCCTCTCCGTAAGGAGGATGGCCACGCTGCAATCCGTTTTCCTCCATCCTCTTCTTGGAATGTTGGGCATGCACACATGCATACCTAGTATGTTCTTTAAGTCACCAGATCTGGGACTTGAACTGCACAGTTGGCCATGTGGGATCCAGCTACCTTAACCACCATTCAATCTGGCTGGCTCCCTCTTTATGTAAAAAAAAAACGTCAACTTTACAGAGAGAGGAGGAGAGAGACAGAGAGAAAGGCACACCTAACAGGATTTCAACACCACCATCCACCCTCGTTTTCAATTGGCCTAGATCATAGTTGTGCACACACTCAGTATGCCCAGAGAGGGCCTAGGATGCAAACCAGGACCCTTCCCATGTGGGTTTAGATGTGCCACCACTGCACCATCACCCAGTTCCTGATCCTAGAATTTAAAAAAAATTGCCAGAAAGTGGGCTCACCAGAGAGACCCTGAGAAAAGAGAGAGGGAGAAGGCACCCCAGTCGAGTGTGGCCACGCTGCAACCCCTTCTACTCCATTCCGTCAGGGTTTGGGGCATGAACGCACATATGACCAGTGTGTTTTTCAAGTCACCAGGGCTGGGATTCAAAGTCACGTGGGTTCTGGCTCTCTTAACCACTAGGCCATGGGGCTGGCACTGATCCCAAAATTCTTAGGCAATGAGATGACAGCACAGTGTGGTTTGCTCTCCCCCTTGTTCTTGTTCAGAGATACACAAGTGCATAGATACAGGGAGATAGGGAACCTGTTCTAGAAACATAAATACTCTTGGGACTGGCAGTTGGCATGGTGGTTGAGGTGCTGGACTCCCACATGGCCGACCACGGTTTGAGTCCTGGACCTGGAGATTTGCTTTCCAACTTTTCCTCTCTCACTCTCTCTCTGTCTCTCTCTGGTCAAAATTAAACAAATAATAATGATAATAAGTGAAATAAAATAATTATTTTTTTTAAAAGAAACATAAATACTGTTATTTCAGTCATTCCAGAGAAAGAAGCAGAGGAAGGGTGATATTCACAGAAGGAGACAGAAAAACACAGATGTGAAGAGAAAGGTATACAAGAGACTAGAGACAGAGATACATTTACATAGGCTGAGAAAGGTGAAGCCACAGAGGGACCAGCAGTTAGTGTAATCGCTGAACTCCCATGTAGCTGACTGCGGTTTAAGTCCCGGACCTGGTGGATTAAATTCACGCCAGGCGCATGTGCATGCGTGCCCAAGATCCTGAGAGGAGAACGAAGGAGAAGGGATTGTGGCGTGGCCATCCCCCCTGGGGGGTAATTTCTTGCTTTCTGTCTGTCTCTCTCTGTCTTTCTGGTGCGCACAGGCACCCCACAGCAAAAACCTCTCCAAAGGAAAAAAAAAAAAAAAGAAGAAAGGTAAAGCCACAGAGAGGGGGAGAATCTGGTACAAATTAAAGTTCAGGAAATAGTGGACTTCATGAGGTATATGATTAATCCAGTTTCCCAAGTCTTGCAAGGGTGGGGGTGGTTCACTGGTTTTCTTTCCTACCATCTACAAGGGAGACTTTGCTTCTGTGACCATCGGAGTCCTAGCTGTGCTCAGGAGGTAGGAGCAGGAACAATCTAGAAGATAACTGGCTTTGGGGGGGTTTATAGTCCAAGGAAAGTATTATAGTCAGGACACAGAAAGAGATACAGAAAGAGGACAAGAGTAAAACTAGGAATAGGAGAGCTTTACATTAATATTGGGATGAGAAGGTGGGGAGAATGGACTGGTAGGTACAGCCATGGGATTAGGATGGGTGAAAGGCAGCTTCCTGGAGTATTTGAGTATTTGAGGGGAAGAGTTGGAAGAAGTGTGATGGTTAATTTTTTTAAAGAAAGAGAATATTTATATTATTTTATTTATCATTATTTTTTCAACTTGATGAGAGAGAGAGATGAGAAAGCAAGCCACCAGGTCTGAGATTTGAACCATGGTCAACTATGGGGGAGTCCAGCTCCCCAACCACCATGCCACCTTTGATGGCTAATTTTATATGTCCACTTGAGTGGACATATACCAGATAGCTCGGAAAACATTTTGGGTAAGTCTGTGAGGATGTTTCAGAAGAGATCAGCATTTGAATTGGCCGACTGAGTTAAGAAGATCACCTTACTAATGTGGGTAGACATTATCCTACTCTATCCTACTCTTTTAGTTCCCCGAAGACCCCAAAACCAGAAGGCAGCCAAATTTTCTCTCTCTCTTCATGACTTGGGACAGCCATCTTCTCCTACCATATGGTTCTTGTGCTTCCGGGTTCTGAGACTCATACCAGTTGGCCCCTCCACTCCTTCTCATGAGACTCAAACTAAATTACCTCATTGGCTTTCCTGGTTTTCCAGTTTACAGAAGGCAGATCAGCAGATTGTGAGATTTGTTGACCTCCGTAATTCTGTGAGTCAATTCCCATAATACATCTCCTCACATAGAATGATAAATATATATCCTGTGGTTCTGTTTATTTGGGGAACCCTGACTATTACAGGAGGTTATAGGGCCGGGCAGAGAGCAAGGCAGAAGAGGGAGAGAAGTGAAAATGGTCACGCTGTGAAAAGGAGCCTGGACAGTAATGTGGGATGCTTGCTACTAGATGCCAGAAATGACTATGCAGGTCCAGAACTCTATATTCTGTAATGACCTTTGGAGCACTGCAAAGGAAAGGTCTCATATCTGGGCAGTAAAAGGTCTAGAAATGGTCAACCTTACCCCTAATACCCGCAGGTGATTGAGGCATAGCTTCCCGAGCCTCAGTCCTTGGGGGAAAGGTGCTGTGAACAGACTTTTGAAAAAGTGATACCCGTTAGAGCTAGAACGCAGTTTCTCACTTCTGAAGACTTCTTACCAAACCCTGACGGAAAAGATAAACTACAAGCCCCAGCACCACTTAGAACTAATCTAGAGCCCCTTCCGGGCACTTGAGCATTTCCGACGGAAGTGACCGCGGTTATGCCAGTCTCCTTCCCTAAACAACGCGGACTACGATTCCCAGTGTCCTCAGCGCCGGGGTGGGGAGAGGAACCGGAAACCGGATGGGGCGCTGGAGCAGGTGAGGAAGTGGGAGGCCGCGAGCCCAGGTCTCTGCGTGCTGCTGGGGGCTTCCCGGGCTGTGCGGGCGGAGCGAGGGTAGGCGGGAAGTGTTCTGGCTCCGCCTGAGCCTAGGCCGGGTGCAGAGGGGATCCGAACTCACGGAACTGCCTGGGTCAAGGCTTTCCGGTCGGCGGAGCACGCGGGGGCAGATGGAGGTTTCGTGTGGTGCCTTATTCTTCGGGCCCCTTGGGACCGTGAGGAGGAATGAAGTGATCTTTTTGAGTCCATTTTCAGCTAATACCGTTTTTGGTTTAATGGTTTGCCGTTGACATCGCGAACTCCCGGAGTGCCTACAAGGGACAGGGAGTGTCGTGCATTCCTTCTTCACTTCCCTGAATTTGAAGGCGGAGAAGCCTGCCATCAGTCTGGCCTCAGTGGGTCACCCCGTGCTGTCTTTGCAGTTAATAGGATGTGACACCCAATTTTATAAAGTGTCTTCATTTCTTAAGCTTCTGGCTCTTGGCGACTTTAGGTAGAACTTTGAATTTCTGTTTTGGGCTCCCTTTGCTGTAGTAGTTTGTCAGGATAGTAAAGCTCAAATCACATTGTATTACAGTTACCCGCCCTCTTGGTATGTGGATTTCAGAAAGTTTCCAGAAAAGCGATATTGAAGTACAAGTTTGTTTTGGTGCCCCTCCCCCCCAAAAAAGAAATTGACATTTATACATAGTAGGGTTTTTTCTATTTTCCATGAATTTTTTTAAAGATTCATAGTTTATGAACTTACTTAAAGGCGGGCCTATATTTTATTCATTTCTTCTTTCTTTCTTTTTTTTTTTTTTTTTTTTTTTTGGGGGTTTTTTTTTTTGGGGGCTGTTTCTTC